CTCTCTGTCAAATAAATAAATAAAATCTTAAAAAAAAAGATGAATGAATTAGAGCTCCACATATTATCATGGAGTGGTCTCCAAACATGGTACAAAAGGCAACAAAGTAAGTTGCAGAATCATGTTACTGTATGTGGTTAAAGTTCAAATACATATGCCAGGGAATTCCATACTCCAACCACAGGATGATAGTCTCCTCTAGGGAGCAAGGAAGAAGGAAGGAGGAAGGAGTGGGAGCTTTAGGAATGGAAACAAAGCCACCAACATAGCGAGAGCAGGAACACAAGCAGGGGGAGTGGGAGAGGGAAAAGCAGGCTTCCCGCAGGGCAGGGAGCCCGATGTGGGACTCGATCCCAGCACCCTGGGATCAGGACCTGAGCTGAAGGCAGACGCTTAACGACTGAGCCACCCAGGCACTCAAATGTTAAACAAACATTTAAGTGTGTTTTCTTTTCTTAAAAATATCTGAATCTGATACCGCAGATTTTTAATTTATGTGAACCCTGGGTGCTTGGTGCATAAGCATTGATTATATTATTCATTCTACTTTTCCCTGTGTTTGGCAAATGTCTTAATAAAACATTAAAAACTACCAAATGTGATCATTTATTTAAAGGTTCCAGCTTGGTGGCTAACATGAAATTAGCATTTTATTCATTTCAAGTCACCTTCTGTTTCCACAGAAAATGTTTCATTTCAGCAATATCTATAAAAACCTTTCTTTACTGGATTACCTACTTTGTTTCCTCCAGTGGACCATGCTGAATAGAATGCCACCTTCTCCCGGTGACTTCCCACTATCATTCTAGAATCAAATATTGGGCTGGGCTCTCTTGCACTAATGCTAAAGAAAGAGTAACCGCAATGGCTCTGCACTCAATGGCGTGGTTTGCTTGGCTGAGATACTAGAAAATTCAGAGCAGGAAGATGATAAAGCTTTCCTGTGGATTCCTTCAGCTTCCAACCCAGACACTCAATGCTATGGTGGTCCTGCTCTAAGATTCACTCACTTAATCAATTAAAAAAAAAATACAGGGGTGCCTAGGTGGCTCAGTTGGTTAAGCATCTACCTTCAGCTCAGGTCATGATCCCGAGGTCCTGGGATTGAACCCCGCGTCAGGCTCCCTGCTCACGGGGAGTCTGCTTCTCCCTCTCCTGTTCTCCCTGCTTGTGCTGTCTCTCTCTCTCTGTCAAATAAATAAATAAAATATTTTTAAAAATACATAATGAGCACCTATTTGTCTAATCGCTAGGGCGATGGCTTGAAGAAGGGTCCACATTCCTTTGTGACCAGAAAGAATAACTCTGCTGATAGACAGCGAGATCATTGCTAATTAAAAGACAGTGCATGCCCATTAAGCAAAGACCTTAAAATACACTCCTGTGTGGCTTTAAAAGAAATTATTGAAGCCACAGGCATCTCTCCGATGTTGGGGTTTCACGTAGTGGCAGCACAGGCAGGGCAAGGAATATCTGGGCGATGGAGGAGCGCTTCCTCTCACCTGGGAAATCAGGAGCTGGTGCTGGGCTCTGCAGGCTGCTTTTATTTACAGCCGTGAATTTTTTGCAAAGACGGAGGTTAATTTTGTGCTCAGGGGACATTTGGTCATGGCTATAGACATTTCTGGTTGTCACAACGAAGGGGGGATGGTATGTTGCTGGTATTTGGTAGGTGGAGGCCAGGGATGCTGCTCAGCATCCTAGGGGGCATGGGACCGCCTCCCTACAGCAAAGGACGATGTGGCTTGAAATGTCCACAGTGCCACAGTTGAAAACCTTGGTATACAGCCATGGCAACCTCCCCGCGGGGCTCTGCCCTCCAGAAGCTCAGAGCAGTTCATTAGCTCACCCAAAGCCATGTAACAGAAGTGGCCCCAGCGAGGGTTTCAAGCTACATTTGCTCGACTCTGAGCCTGACTGCCTCTAGCAGAAGTCTTGTTCTCACGAGGCCAGCTGTGAACACAGTCGCCATTCACATTCACCCCCTTAAAGCTAGGGCTGCTTACCCTCCCTCCCCGACAGTTGCTGAAGGCAAGGCGACCTCGTCTGTCCCTTCTGGCTAGGCGCACTCTGTTTATTCTCGTGGTCCTTCCAAGAACCCTGCTGTGTGTGGACCCCAGAAGGTCTCCTTTGAAGAGCAGTGAGTGTGGACAGGGCTGGAATTGATGGGCCAGAGGGCACTTGGGGGGACCTGGTGGAGGCTGGCTGAACCGACTGGCCTCTGGCTTTTCCTGAGGACTTACTGAGCTGTCCTCCCCCTTGGATCCATCTCTCTGAACAGGGCCTAGAGGCAGGGAATGTGTTCTCCCAAACGCCTGCTGGGGCTTCCCTCTTACCTGATCACAGAGGGTTCCAATCAGGCCTTCCAGATCCTGCTTCTCGTGGAGGACCATCTGCTTCTCCTCGTATTCTTGCTCCAGCTGCATTTCGAGCTGGCGGAGCTGCGGGCACAAAGGGCAGATGCAGACATAGGCTAAATGAGCTCCATCCGGACAAAACCCACAAGGCAGGGAGACCATCTGGGGGGGGGGGGCGGGATGTGAAGCTCTCAGCCCCTTGCCCTGTTCCACAAAGGCCGCCCTAGCGATTAGGAAGTGGGTGTCTCTGTCGGAGAACTCAGGAGCCTAAGAACTTGGGAGCCCGACAATTATGGGGACAGCTGGCCAATGATGGGGAGCCCCCGCCACTCACCGTGAAGCCCTCGCCCCCCCAGTTCCTTGCCCACTCCCCAACAGCTGTTTCCTTACTATGCCATGACCTTGCCTGAATAGTTGCAAATCTTGGCACTCTGACTTTTTAAGGCTCTGGGCAACATTATACCCAACATATTAAAATGTAGCCACCTTCTTTATCAAATAGACTGTGACTCCATTAAAAAAAAAAAAAGAGGAAGAAGTTTGCATTTGCCATTACTCGGTGTTGTGGATTACATGTTGGGGTCTCTCCCAAATACCTATGTTGAAATTCTAAACCCCCCTGCGCAGTATTATCTGAAGACGCAGGCTTTGGGAGATAACTGGGCTTAGGTGAGGTCCGGGGGAGTGGAGCCCCCCATACTGGGATCATGGCCTTTCTAAGAAGAGATCGCAGAGAGCTTGCTTCTTCTGTCTCTCTCCACCACCTGAGGACACAGCAAGAAGGCAGCTATGTGCAAGCCAGGAGGAGGGCCCTCACCAGAGGCCCAGTCTGCTGGCACCTTGATCTTGGACTCCCCAGTGTCCAGAACTGCGAGAGATGAATGTTTGTCCTCTCAGCCCCGGTCTGTGATACTCTGTTATAGCAGTCCAAACAGACTAAGACATTTGGCTCCGGGCAACTCATTTCATTTCATTGGCTCTGATTTCTCTAATCACCCAGCAAAGGCAGGTGTTCTCCACTAAAGTGAATACCCCACGATAACCCCTTTGCACACCCTCTTCCCCGCCAGCCCTTCTCCTATATGCTGCCTTGCCCACCCCTTCTTCCTCCCTTTCCATGCTGTATCAATTACCCTATTGCATAGGTGGGCAAACTGAGTCAGAGAGACGTTCTAAGGCCCCTACTCCTAAATCATTTGCCGCTAAGAGCAGTTAGCGTTCTACCTCCTGACACTGGCTCTTCTGCCACCCCAGACAGCCGTCACCATTCCCACCCAGGTCACTGAAACCATTGATTTCCTGCCACAGCAAGAGAGAAATGGAGCAGAGCAGGCACTAGATGAAGTCCAAGTGTCTGCCATCAAGAGAAAAGTACTTTTCTCTGACCTTGCTCTCTCCCTTTATAAATCTGTCCACACAAAAGCCTCAGGAGGGCCTGGGTCACATCTCCACCTCATCGGGGCCCTGGCTCAGGGCACTCATGATGCTTTGAGACACTTTTAGAATGCACCAGAAGTTGTGCAACCTTCACACAAGGGCATAGGGGCAGGGACAGAGGGCTTCCATCTCCTGGCCCATGGAGGGCAAACTAGTGGTTGATGGCCACTTACGTAAAAAGCAAGTCCATTTCAAAACTTTAAGAGCGAGAGACACAAGGCCCTCTGCTCATATCTGCTTTTAGAGTGGAGGCTGGCAAAGCTAAAGCACATTTTGAAAAATACACAAAATAATAAAGACTCTGTATCAAGCCAGGCAAAGTTTTCTGGAGTGTGTTCTGCAGGACGGCTCCCCATGGCGTGATGGGTATGTAGGTGGAGGAAAGTCCATGCTAGAATGAGTGTGGGAACCACTGAGTTAACGGGTTCTTCAGTGCAAGACTTATCAGAGCCTTTGGCAAATTCATGTGCAGGAAGCACTAGGATGCGGCATTGCCCAAGGCTGACTTCTATCAATGCTTCCTAAAATGGCCTTCCACGGTCCAAACATTTGCAAAAGAAAAAGAATTTAAATCTAGCATTTTCAGTGAGAGACTGGGCTTGGGAGTGAGACAGACCTAAGCTTCAAGTCCTGGCTTGGCTACTTCTCCGCTAGGTAACTTTGGGCAACTCACTTCACCATTTTGAACTCTGGTTTTCTCATCTGTGAACCAGGACCACAAACCTCACAGAATCCTTCAGAGGAGCAAGGAAGCGGATGGACAACAAGAACCCATCTGGGTGCACGGTGCTCACTGGGTGTTCAAAGAATCCCATTCATTTCTCCCAGATATGTAAGAACGGAGAAAAAGCAGAAACTGACCCCTCGATGCAAACTCCCAGCACTTTACAGTTTACAAGCTACTGCCCATTCTTTTATCTCCTCTTCACAATAGCAGAGGAGGGCAGAATATTTTCTATCATTGCTTGTATGTCTTAGATCAGAAAATGGAGTCTCAGGGAAGTTCTGAGACTTAACTCAGGGACACACAGGTCTGGATGAGTCCAAAATCGTTGACTTTCTTTCCAACCCTGGGGAGTTTGGGAAGGAATGTGCTTGATTCCTCGGGATGAATCCATGTAAAGCCCCAGAGGGACTGAGCTTTAGGGGGACCCCAAAAGGAGTATTTGAAGAGCAGGACAGGCAGCAGATGCAGCAGCATCCACCACTGGGGGGTGAAGATTGGGCTCAGCTCTCAAACACTTCCCTGGAGTAAGGGCAGGGTACCAAGGCGGTCTGATCTGCCCGAAGATGTGCTCAGCGAGACTCCCATCTCCTGCCGAGGTTCTGACAATCACCAAGACGCCCTTCAGTCCTGCCCAGGAGGATGCTTGGCTGTGGGCTCTGCAGGGCACCAAGGCCCCATGCCCTCCTTCTCTTGGATGGACGAATCACATCCAGGAGCAAGGGAACCACCCGGCTGGTTCATTGGCTCTTCTGCAGGGCCCACTGCTGGAAATCCCCTATTGCTTGTAAGTTTCCAACAAACAAGGATTCCATTACAAAACTGCTGCAATGTTTCCCCATCTGAGATCTCCCTGAGTCTTCACTGTGACCCTGCAAGTAGTCACATTATCCTATCTTACAGATGAGAACAGTGAAGCTTATTAGTAAGGTTGTGTGGTTCCTCCAATAGCCCCACACCTGGTAGCTGATGACATTGAAACCTGACCCAAGCATGACTTGACTCCATGACTCCAATGAAAAGCAGTGACATTGGCTTTCTTGTGTGTCTTATAAACAGGCTCTGAGTGACCAGCGCTGGATACAGAGCAAGGAGTCCAGGAACAGCATGGACTTAAGTAGCAGTGAAGGCTTTTAAATCACTTTCCCAAGATGGCACCATTGTTAAGGTGGAAGGGCAGAGATCCAAACCAAGAGTCTGGGAATTCCAACACCCAGGCCCTCAAGCCCTACAGCCTAGAGGTCTCTGCAGACAGACCGCCGAGGGAGCCTGTAACAGGAATCAGCTTTGGAAAATGCTACTCCACCCCTTCTTGGAGATCCAACTGCCCATGAGATGATGAAGGACCTGGAGGGGTCCCACAGTGAGAAAACCTGTTCACTGAGCCATAACCCACAGCTTTCCAGCCATCCCACTTAAGAGATGCATCTTCTATTCATATCAATCAATGCATCTGTAAGGATGTTTATCTCGGCATTGGTTAGGGTAACAGAAAATCCGAAAATCCTCAATTCCCAACCACAGGGGACTTGTTGAAGAGATTACAGCACGTGCCTAAGGTGGACTGCTTTTAAAGCTCTTAAATATGTAAGTTAGATCTGTATTTACTGACATGGAAAAAGGCCCAGGACACACCGCTGAGGGAAATAGCAGGCTTCAAGAAAGCATGACCCCATTTAGGGAAAATGATATCTCAATAAATATGTATGCGTGTGTGTACAACGACAGAGAGCTATGAAATGACTTTTAAAATAGTAATAATGATGGTTTCTAGGTGGTACGATTGCAAGGATTTATTGCTTTCTTACCCACTGTTTGAAATGTCTGCAGGAGCTTGGATGAAGTGTAAGAAACTATTTGCAAAGGAAATAGCCACAAGAGACTAGTCCCCTCCTTGAAACCTGTTAAGTCCTTACTCAAGGTATAAAATTACATGGCATTATGGGCTTTTGGCAGAAATCTTGGGGTGCTGATGCTTGACAGTTCCAGTAGCTTCTGGAAGTTCTAGGACCATATTTAAGATAGGTATTTCTGCTCTAGCACCCCTGACAGCTAAGGTCTTCGGTGGTTGCAGGAACAGTTTGTCCCCAGGCCCTAGAATCCACCCCTCTCCCCGCCTCCCACGCAATGGAAGATGGCACCAGGACCAGACCTGCCAGGGCCCAAGGGCACAGTTCTGTTTGCTGTTCACATACCCGCTTCTGGCAGGACTGGCGGACATCTTCCAGCTCCTCTTCCTGGTCCTCACGATCCTTCTGGTGCATCTGCTTCATCCGCTCGATCTCCAGCTCAAACCTCTGGCGGAGCTGGGTGGGGGCGGACAGCAAGGACAGAGGCACATGAGGGCAACCCACACCAACCATGTCAGACTGGTTATCCCCCCTCCTGCGTTTTTCATTTCTGGAGTGCGGGGAGGAGAGTCAAGTCATCCCCCAGGCACCCACCCAGGAAGGTCAGAAATGATGGATAAATAGCCCACGTGCTGCCTCTATCCCTTCCTGCAGTCATTACAAGCATCACTAATCAATCACACTCTTTCCCATTGAATCTAGACAGAAGACTCCTTCAGGATCCTTCTCAACACTTTCAACACGAAACAAATGTGTCATCCCTGGAGCAAGCATCGGTGAGGGTTTTTTGGATGGATGGCTAGGTGGGTGGATGGATGGTAGAACAAAAGTTTATTCATGAAAACAAGAAAGGCTGCAGAGGGAGAACGTTTGCCCAAAATGTCACCTTAGACAATTCACTTTGCCTCTGATTACTCTGTGGAAAACCACCACCTCAGGATGCTTTACGAGAATTCGATGAGATCGCCCGCATTAAGTATCTAGCACATTGTCTGGCACACGATTATGACTTTCTCTTTTGAAAGCAGACAGGAAGGACTGCCCTTCTCCCTTTCTGGAAGACAAAATTAAGAGCTGTGTCCCTTTTAAATGAGAACCTCCAAAATTTGCTCAGAGCCAACAAAGAGCCACCTGCGGTGCAGGATGTTTAAACCGTGTGACGTTGTATAGAAGGTTCTAGAATTGGAAGCAGATGTCATGGGTTCCTGTGGCGGTTCGAGACGCTCCTTTCTTGATCTTTGTAATTGAGGGACTGACCCAAGCTCTTGCTTCTCAAATTCCGTGGTGTGTTAGCATTACATAAAGCTATTTTTAAAAATTTACATTTCAGGGCTTCACCCTAGACCTACTGGATCAGAATCTCTGGAGTGCGGGCTCCAGGAATTTATACTTCCAAGCTTCCATTTATCTGTACTCTAATGCCGTTGGTCATGGAGCAGCATTTGGAACCCAATACCTTAGATGGGTTACAATGTAGAAACTATGATCATTTACCACACCACCCAGAGCCTCCTACCAAGCCTTCGGAAGGTTACAACTGCTGTCCCTCACATGGAAATTAAATTGGGAAAAAACAATCTTGGTCTTTTAAAATGTCGACAATATTCTCTACCATGCAGGACCATGGTGGAGAGGCAAAAGGTAGCGTACCACAGAGCCCCTATTACAGTTCCTGGCATAAAATAGGCTCACTTTAAATGTCAACCTCCTTCCTTGCCTCCTTTAAAATGACAGAGGTTATGGGAAGATAATCCAAAACGAGGAGCTTAAGCAAGTAAATATAATATTTCTTTTTCATTTTTTTTCTAGCCTCTTGGACACTCCTGACATCTGCAATACAATTTATGTCAAGCTTATATGAGTTAACATAAAATTCCCTGGAAAAAGTGCTATACTGTGATCAATAAACATCTCCCGATGTCTACAAGGACACACTGTGGCGTGAGGTTCTGGGCGAAGCTAAAGACGGATTCAAGTGTTGCGTCAGCCTCGTCTTCTGTGTATGCTGAGGGTTGAAAATTAGGAAGGACGCATTAACTTCCCGGTCCCTGAGGTCACAGGAGTACATTTCTGCTCCTGAGCACTGAGGGGTCCCCTGGTGGTATCTTAAACTCAGAATTTTCCAAAATGCTGGCTTTATTCTTGACTCTGGGTTGCTATACAAACTGCGCCATTCTCCACGTCCCTTAAAATGATCTACGAAGTATTCCACCTCCTTCATGAACCTCCGTGGATTCCTAGCTGGATCTGGGGGAAGCCAGGGGATTGACAAGGCTCCAGTTTTCTCTGTACAGAGGAGGAGACTGAAGTCTGGAGAAGACAGGGGGGCTTGCTTAAGGTCATAGAGACTGAGCTGCCTGGAGGACCCCATGTGGATGTGACCATATTTCAGCTCCTTGAATGCCACAGGACTTTCCTCCCCCCAGGCCTTTGCATGGGCTATTCCTCCTGCATGGAACTCTCTTGGTGCCAACTTGGACTCATCCTTCAGTAAATGTCACTTCCTCCAGGAAGTCTTCCCTGATTGTTCCCCCAACCTTGCTCCCAAGACCAGAGATGCAAATTAAACTTTCTCAAGATACTCAGCAGGACTATAAACTTCCAGAAGGCAGAGGGCACATCTGCCTTGTTTTGTTTTGTTTTTAGAGAGACAGAGAGAGTGGTGGGGAGAGACTGAGGGAGAGGGAGAAAGAGAGAATCCCAAGTAGGTCCACACTGAGCATGGAGCCTGATGCAGGGCTCGATCACACGACCCTGAGACCATGCCCTGAGCCAAAATCAAGAGTCAGATGCTTAACTGACTGAACCACCCAGACGCCCATGTCTTGTTTACACCTGCATCCTTAGCATCCACACCTTGCATGATGCAAAGTAGGCGCTTGACAAATTCTCGTAGGCTGAGTGAGCTAAAGGAGCTCAGTGTTCTGAACTGCTTCAGACTCTGTCCCTCCATGCCCGCCACACCCAGTCTCAGTACTTAGGAGGTTCCTTGCCAGTGGAGTGAGAGTAACTGAGAAGCCAGGGCAGGCACCCCTGCCTTCCCACTCCCTCACCCCACTGGACCAGAGCTGCTCAGAGTTCATCTGCTCTACATATTCATGCTACGTAGTCAGATTTTCTCGGAAAGGGGATCCCCGCCTTATAACCGCTTCAAAATCATTGCCGCTTGTGAAATGCCACATGAGAAATTTCTTTCCAGCTAAGCCTCAGGAAAAGGCTTTGTTTCCACTTGAAAATCTGGTTTGTTTTTACCTTGGGATAACAAAGAGCACGCAACTCACATTTCCTTTTTCTCTCTGGCCACCAGGAATTTCAGAGCTGAAACCATTAAGGGTATAAGATCACATGTTTTGTGTATCCGCCATCCCCAAACCTCCTTGGTGTCTATTTTAGTGTATGTTTTTCTGGCTTGGATTGTTTTATTTATAATTTTTCTGTTTTAGGATGCATACATTCTATAAGCTGCTTCGAATTCTTTGTGGAATGAGGCGGGCACGTCAACAAAGGAGCCTACAAAGAAAATCTTCATCGGAAACTTCATTAAGGGTGCTGGTATTAGGGGAGTCGCTATTCCTGCCTTATTTCCCTTAGTGGTTTTGTGTTTCCCAAAGATTAGTGCCCCAGTCTTCCTGGAGGTTGTGTACAGCGCTGTGCATGCAGCAGGTGATTTGGACTCAGATGTCACGAGCTCCAGATCCACCCCTGGTGGGGTCCCCCTCTGGGTCTCCGAGCCTCAGCTTCCACATCTATGAAGAGGGGATCATACTGGTGTCTGACCCTCGCAGGACGGCAGGAGTGGGCTAGATCAGGAAGGATCTAAATGCCAGGCATGGAGGTTAAGAGGGTCTCGTGGTTAATAGGGAGCCACAGCAGAATAAGGAGATGCTGAGAGAGGTGAGGTGCTGGTGTTGTATTTCAATAACCCCCTTCTGCACCGGAGCCAGTATGGGACCTGGGACCGAGATTTCCTACCTGCTGCAGCTGCTTGATGGTGTTCTCTTGTTGGTTCTGGATTTTCTGTTGCTCGAGGGCGCTAGATTCCAGCTTCCAGAGCCTCTCCTTCAAGCCAGCTACACAGTTCTCTCCCAGAGAGGACAACCCCAACAGCTCCCGCTTATGGGCCTGCAGAGTCTCCACCTCCTGCTTCAGCTGCGAGGTTTCCTGCTCCTTTTGCTACAGAGGTCAAGGGAGTGGAGATCCAGTCGCGTGACCACACGTCCCATCACCAGGGAACAACCTGTCATCCCTACCTCGGCCTGGAAACCCTGTGCGACACAGAGGGCTGCTCCCTGGGACAGTTCACACAAGCAGGGGTGGGGGCCTTTGTGGGGAGCAACACCACGGCCCCCAGAGGTAGACCTCAAAGCACATAAAGGGAGTGTTTGCCCATTTGTTTTTTTTGTTGTTGTTGTTTGTTTTTAAAGATTTTTTTTTATTTATTTGACAGAGACATAGCGAGAGAGGGAACACAAGCAGGGGGAGTGGGAGAGGGAGAAGCAGGCTTCCCCGCAGAGCAAGGAGCCTGATGCGGGGCTCGATTCCAGGACCCTGGGATCATGACCTGAGCCGAAGGCAGACGCTTAACGACTGAGCCACCCAGGCGCCCCGAGTGTTTGCCCATTTGTAAGCCGGGCATCTGCCGAGGAGGGGATTGAGACACTGGGGCAGTGAGGCAAGGTGTCCAGAAATGACTCGTCCAGGTTAGAAAGTCAGCTCCAGGGTCAAAGAACTTTGGGCTAGATCAAGAAATTGCTGAATGCCAGGCTGAGATCTCTCTTGGGGGTAGCAGGGAGCCACAGAAGGATGGGGAGCTATTGAGTAAAGTGTCCGTGTAACATTTTAATAAAATCCCTCTGCACTAGAGCCCGCATGGGATGGGGCACTGACCCTGGATGGGGTGACAGTAACTCATTCTTTGCTCAGCCTCTCCTACCTCCCAGGTGGGTACCTTGAAAGTGCTCAGATCATCTGATGATCACTCTTCCAACCACTGTTTGTTGTGTTAAGGCACCCTGGGACACATGACTTCAGCTGGTTGGCAGGGACTAGCATACCCCTGCCACCAACCCCCTCCAGAGTTCTCTCCCTGTCACTATTTACCTTGGGTGCACAGGGGGGTTTCCTGGAAGCCAGCAACTAAGAGCCTAGAGGGCTCCATGCCCTCCCCATCCCTTACCTTCAACTGTTGCTGAAGCTGGCCTAGTTCCCACCGGACACTGGTGTTCTCCTGGGTCACTTTCTCTCGAAGACCCTTCTCAAACACGGACTCCCCCAGGGCCTGGGCCAGCTGCGTATCAAACCTGTTTAAGCAAAAAAAAAAAAAAAAAACCTGTTTAAGCAGAGCGTATGTCACGGTACTGCGGGGGGGCCCTGGGGTTTGTGGGGGGAACAAGGGCTGGAGAGAAGCAGTGAGCCTGCCGGCAAGCATGAGAAAGAGACAGAGAGAGAGAAAGAGAGGGAGGGAGGGAGAGATGGAAGGTTTCGCACGGTGCTTTTATGTAAGGTTGTGGATATGCAGGAGGAATCTAGAATGTCAGAGAGCAACTTTTAGGGCTCAAATAGAGTTTCCACAAAAATAATGGAGACTTATATAAAACACGATTAAATACAGAGGTAAAAACCAGAGTAGAATAAAACTACATACAGATGCAGAAAGAAGAAAAAAACATATAGAATCATAGAAAAATCTCATCTATCTGGTTTGCCCATATATGCGAAGACTCTTTAAATCTACAAGGCCCAGGTTTGGAGTCTAACAGTCACTGATCGGTGAAGGAATGGAAGTATATATCTGCACAAATGAGAGAGTCTACACTGCGTCTCCTACAGGATATCACATTGCTCCTGCACTCATCAGCTATGTTAGAGCCTAGTGATTATTGATAAAAGGCTGGACATTAATACATTCAGTCTTGCCTTCATTTGTTTCCCCAGCAAAAAACACAGACTCGACAGTCCTCTTGGGGGCTGTCCCGGGAATCAGGAAATGCCTCATTTGGGGCCCATCTGCCCCTCCACAATGGTGACTGCTGACTGAGAAACACCTCCAGGATTTGACATCATTCCATGCAGTTCCTTGCACTTCTACCCCTCTCCCAGATGAGGAAACCAGTAGAGGAGGCTCTGCCAAGGCTCAATAAGATGTGACCATGGTCACTTGCCCTTGGTCACTTGCCCTTGGCCTACACAGAAAGCCCCACGGCTCCAGGGAACTGGGCATGGTCAGAATGGCTGAGCTGGGCATGGGGCCTGGGCCCCGGTGAGAAGAAAGTCTCCCCTGTTACAAGACTATCCAATGTATCTTAACACTAGATGGTCATTCAAAGCCTCAGACTCCTGAGAGAGCCCATCATGAGTCACATGAGGGAGTTCTCCTGTTGGAAGAGCCCAGGAGCTTTCTGATTGGCTGATGGTGACATCATTCAAGAGGCACCACTGGCCGCCTAGAAAGGGAAACATCGTATTGGTAATAAGGCTCCAGAGTCGCAGAGTGCCGGGTTCTGGGCTCTGCCGTGGGGTCCGTGTAGTAACAATTCGACAAGAAACATGGTAATGATATCCATTTTACAGAAGAGGAAGCTGAAGTTCAGAGAGGCAGAGTGATTCGGCCCCAAATGCCAGCCGGCATCCAGCTTCTCTGCTGTCTTAGCTAGCCCCCCATCTACCTGGCACAGGTGGGGGGCAGACTGTGGGGACAGGCAGTGACAGAGGGTTCCGAGGAGTCCCTGACCTAACAGGCCACCTGATGCCAAAGAATGTCTCCTACAGAGACCCGAACTTCTGGAACACACGGACCGACTGACTGCCTGAGGCCAGACGGATTCACACACCTGCTTCACCCCACCCGAAGCAGCCCTGGGGTCTAACCTCCAGCGAGTGTGGGAGTCAGTGAGCCCAGCACAGGCCTCACCGCAAGGAAGCAGGCTGGGGGTTCCATCAGCCCCGGAACTGAGCTCTGTGACCCGTGGGGTAACCGTGGCAACAGGAAGCCAAGCCCAGATGGAACCACTTCGGGCCGCTGTGGACTTAGAAGCCACAGTGGGAGCAGGGAAACTACGGGCGTGGAGACATCAGTCCACCCAGGGCCCAGCAAACCGAGGAGGCGGCTACATCTACACTTTGATTAGACTTAGAGAGCTATGAGGAAGTGTTGCTCCCTTCTAGATCCTTCCCCACTACAGTCATTTTGCCTGATTTCCCATCATTAGAGTGAGGTTTCTATCGTCCATAGGCTCCCTGCTAAAATGCTGGTCCACCTAGAAAGATAATGGCTGCCGTTTGCAATGAGCTTCAGAACATGAATTAATGTCTACGAGAAGATGTAGAGGGGGAGGGAGCATCACAGGACAGGTAAGTCTTGGGGGGAAGCAATGTAAGTATGAAGAAATGGGGACTTTCTCAGGGGAGCCCTACTGGGAAGGTCTTGAGTGCCCAGAATGGAGGATTCTGCCCAAGAGGTGTCAGGGAAAGACCAGAGAGATGGAATTTTCTGGTTGCATAAACTCCATGGACAGCCCCCAGCCCCATCAGAGAGCAGAAACCTTCCATATAAACCCTCAGAACAGAAGCAGAGGGGCGCCTGGGCGGCTCAGTCAGTTAGGCATCTGCCTTCGGCTCAGGGCATGATCCCCTGGGATGGAGCCCCGCATCGGGCTCCCTGCTCAGCGGGGAATCTGCTTCTCCCTCTCCCTCTGCCACTCACCCCTGCTCGTTCTCTCTCTTTCTTTCTCTCTCTCAAATAAATAAAATCTTTAAAAAAAAAAAAAAAAGAACAGGAGCAGAACCCACAGATGAAGGCCAAGATTGTCATAGATGGCAGAAACCCCAGGGGGAGGCTGGAGTCACCACCTCTTGGTTTTACAGATGGGGTCTGTAGGAGCTATTTTTTTTTTTAATTTTGTTTATTTGACAGAGAGACAGAGAGAGAGTACAAGTAGGCAGAGTGGCAGGCACAGGGAGAGGGAGAAGCAGGCTCCCCGCTGAGCAGGGAGCCCAACATGGGACTCGATCCCAGGACGCTGGGATCATGACCTGAGCCGAAGGAAGACGCTTAACCGACTGAGCCCCCCAGGTGCCCCTATAGGAGCTATTCTTCAGGAATAAGTCCAAGAACTCCTTCGGAACTCAGCCTTTCTCTGGCCCAGAGAGGCACTATCATTTGACAAGGTCACACAGGAAATGGCCAAGGTAAGACAAAGCCATTTTCCCCACCACAAGGACAAGGTTCAGCCAGAGTCCCCAGGAAGGTGAAAAAGGAAACAGAATCAGATATCAATAAAAGATTAAAGAAACCTCTCTTGTTTTGAGAGGGCACGCTAACAACCCCCCAAAGACTTTTTTTCCCCACAAGAAAAAGCCAGCTCAGAAAGGCTCCAAGTGAGAGAAACAATATTTAATTATGCAGACCAAGTTCAAAATCTATGCCACTCCCATGAAAATATAATTCAGTGTGCCACCTTTTGCACCTCTCATAACATTTTTATCCCAGACTGTCTAACTAAAAGACGCTGTATCTCATCACTTTGTCTCCTATCAAGTCTCCACTGGAGGTCATCTGACTCAAAACGGGACCCCGAACACCCCTAACTACCCTCACCAAGCAAGCTGAAGGGCTTCCAACAAAGCCAGGGTGTCCACAGATAAACCAGCTCCAAGGGCTCCAAGGTTTTGCAGATGGAAGCTCCTGGGTCCCAGTCTAGGCTCTATCATTTGGGGAGCATGGGAGCCAGAGTGCAGCTCCAAGAATGGCATCGTGATAATGCAAAAGGCCCCGTCCGTCCGTGCCAGAGCTGCTCACGTGATCTGAGAGTCTAAGCCCTAAATGTCAAGAGCAATGAGTAGATTTTTGGCCTCCCCATTCTGTGGTCCACAATGGGGCTAGGAATCAGACGTCAGTCCGTTGGGCCTACCAACCACATCATTTAGTCTGCACCGCTATGGGGTGTTCTCCTCCCCAACCCGAGGATGAGAAACTGAGGCTCAGGGGGTTGAATGACTTGTCCAAGGTCAACTAGAAAAGGATACGGCGAGGTCTCGAACTGGGGTGGTTTGACATCAGTGCTTGCTCCCCCAACCACCATGATAGGGTGTCCTTGCCCTCCATAACCAACTCTTCACTTGATAAACGGGGATGTTGAGGCCCAGAGAGGCCAAGAAAGCTCCCCGAGGTCACATGGCCGATTGGGTAACAGGAAGGAATCACTTCTTGCTGCAGACGTGGGAGAACCTTACAGGAATAAGGTATGAGTGGTGGGGAGGATATTAGGGGCCGACAAGAGGGTTAGGTCTCATGGATGAGGGGCCCTGACAGAAGTGAGGGGGGCTGAGGAGGAGAACCTGGAGACCCCAGAAGACCCCCACGCCAACGCAGCCCACCCCAGAACCCCGGGCAACGGGTGTGACCTGTAACTCACTTCTTCTGCTTCTTCTCAAGCTCGTGATTTCGGCTCTGCTGGTTCTCCAGCTGGAGGCGGGTGTCCTCCAGGTCACAGGTCAGATGGTGGCACTTCCTTTTCAGCTGGTGGGCCATTTTCTTGGCCCCCTCGTAAGCACTCTGCAGCTCCCCGAGCTGTGGGAGTCACAGAATGAATTACCCGGCTCGGTCGCCACTTGAACGGGCTTCCTACTTTTTACTTCAGGCAGCTGTGCCATCCCTGAGGTGAGCATGGCGGAGAGAGAGAAGGTGCTGGAGCTGGAGAGACCCGGACTGGACCGCTTTCTGCCCGTGTCGCCGTGAGGAAGTGACTTCTCTGACCCTGTCTGCTCAGTGGGGAGACGGGGGCCATTCCATCCATCTCTTGGGGTCGTGTTTAATTTGCCTCCATAATAGTCCTGCTAAGGCGCCCACAGATTCTTTACATGTCCTGCCTCAACACGACAGCACCGTGGGTCCTGTGTAATTAATAGCCCCATCCGCGGGCATCACATGTCTGAGCCATGTGGGGATTAGCCATGAAGCAGCCAAAATGGCGCATCTTGAGGATCTGCCCACGAGACAGGCTCTGAAGCTCAGGGCCATAAATGGCACTTTCGATGGGCCAAATGGCACTTTTGACGGGCCGAATGACACAGCAATACACATAACCGTAAACACACAGAAAAGCAAAGCCTCTCGCCTCTTCCTCAAGGAAAAAAAACCCTCCCAAATGTCCTAGTTTAAATCTGGGAGAGAGAACAACTCAGCACACTTGCTTTGAAGAAATGGCCTCATTAAAGAATTTCTTTAAATAAGCAAAACTCTGAGTTAATGAAGCCTGTAATTCTAAATTCAGTATTTGAAGGCAAATGGGATGTTTTCTTAGATTCTGCGGCTCAGAAAGGTTGCAGCTTTATTACTTTTTAATGCAGCATGCATAGCTCCCCCCTTCCTTGGGGGAAACTGACCCGCCTTTATAATTTGTTACTAAAGAACTCTGCTGTTTCCTTGCAGTTGGGCTTATCTACAGCTCAGATGCTTTTGAGGATCACAAAATAATGTCCGTCTTGGAAGTGACCACTAAAACCATCATTGCCAGGGAGGATCCTGAGCTTCCATTGTTTGTAAAACCCCATGTGACCTCACCCTGACCCCCCTCTGCAAGGCGGTCATGCAATGCTTTTCTCTCGCAGTGAGGAGATATGTAAAACGGTAGGACAGGCAAATATGACCTCAATTCTCAAGGTGCTCATCACTAATGGGGGTGGGGGACCAAGAAGTAAGCAGATGTTATAATACATCATGATGAGGTTTATACTTGGGGACACAATTCAGGGGCACCCAACCAGTCTGTATCAGGGGAGACTTTCTGGAGGGAAGGACATGTAAGCTCAGATCTTAAGGATAGTTGGAGGTATCCAGGTCGGGGAGAGAGAATATTCTAGGAAAAGGTAACAGTATGTGCAAAGGCCCAGAGGTGATGAAGACTAAGGCAGTGCAAGGGAAGAGGATAGAGAGCCCAGAAATAGACTCACTGAGATATAGACATTTGATCTTTCACAAAGGGATAAAGGTGATACAATGAGCAAAACAGTCTTTCCCACAAATGATGCTGAGACAACTGGTCATCCACATGCAAAAAAAGAATCTTGACACAGACCTTACACCCTTCACAAAAATTAAATTAAAATGGACCACAGACCTATATATAAAATGCAAAACTATGAAGCTCCCAGAAGATAATGTGGGTGAAAACCTACATGACCTTGGGTTTGGCAATGACTTTTTAGAAATACACCAAAGGCATGACCCATGAAAGAAAGAGTTTATAAGGTGGACTTCATTAAAAGTTAAAAATTTCTGCCCCACAAAAGACACTATCAAGAAAATGAAAAGACAGGGGTGCCTGGGTGTCTCAGTCAGTTAAACATCAGCCTTTGGCTCAGATCATGATCCCAGGGTCCTGGGATTGAGCCCCACACTGGGGATCCCTGCTCAATGGGGAGCCTGCTTCTCCCTATCCCTCCCCCGCCGCCCCGCTTGTGCTTTCTCTCACTCTCTCAAATAAAAAAAAATCTTTAAAAAAAGAAAGAAAGAAAAGGAAAAAGCCAGCCATGGACTGGGAGAAAATTTTTGCAAAAAACATATTTGATAGAGGACTGTTATCCAAAATATACAAAGAATGTTTAAAACCCTACAAGAAAACAACTCAATTAAAAAATGGGCCAAAGACCTTAAAAGACAGCTCGCCAAAGAAGAAAGACAGTGAATAAGAGTCTGAAAAGGTGCTCCACGTCATAGGGCATCAGGGAATCGCGAATTAAAACAAGACACCACCACGCACCTATGAGACTGGCCAAAATCGGGAACACAGACAACACCAAATGCTGCCAAGGATGTGAAGCAATAGGAGCTCTCAGTGCTGGTGGGGATGCAAAATGGGACAGCCACAGTGCAAGACAGTTTAGCAGTTTCTTCAAAACTAAACACACTCTTCCCATATGATCCAGCAATTGTTCTCCTTGGGATTGACCCAGAGGAGTTGAAAGTTTCTGTCCACATGAAAACCTGCACATGGATGTTTAGTTCAGCTTTACTCAACAATTGCCAAAACACGGAAGCAACCAAGATGGTCTTCAGTAGGTGAGTGGATACACTGCGGTCCATCCAGGAAATGGAATATTATTCAGCACTCAAGAGAAATGAGCTATCAAGCCATGAAAAGATGTAGAGGCAACTTCAATGCCTATAACTAAGTGAAAGAAGCCGATCTGAAAAGGCAACATACCATATGATTCCAAGTATATGACATTCTGGAAAAGGCAAAAGGATGGAGGGATGAACTGCTGAGGCAGAGAGGATTTTTAGGGTAGCAAAACTCTTCTATAAAACTATAATGGAGGATCCATGTCATTATACATTTGTCTAAACCCATGGAATGTACAACACCAAGAGTGAACCCTAATGTAGACTACAGACTTTGGGTAATAATGATGCGTTAACAGAGGTTCAGCCATTGTATTGAGGGGGTCACTCCAGTGGGGGGTGTTGACGATGAGGGAGGCCATGCATGTGTATAGTCTAAGCAGGGGATGTGTAGGAAGGTACCTTCCTCTCTATTTCGCTTTGAGCTTTAAACAAGTGAGTGTGGTTGGATTCAGCACGCTAGGGCCAGTACACTCAGTTATGAGAGCTGATTCTCTTCCTAATTCCACACCCTGTACTCTCACAATGGTAAGCTGACATTGACCCCAGTGGAAACATTTACACCGTGGAAATTGGCAATTGGCAAATGCTGGACATCGGGGTGTTTATTTTTAGAGGCCCAGTTACCAACACACCACTACCTGGAGTGTAGGCTTGTTAGATGTAGTCTAGGCGTAGTTGGAGACCATGCAAAACAGGCAAAGAGGCCAAACTAGGCCTACATTCATCTAGAAAATGATGAATCTAGATACAAATACCTGATATTTGTAATGTTCAGCTGCACTTTCAAGAAAGGAAGGAAAATTTCAGGATATCCAAAATGCAAAGGACACAAAACAAGAGCCATGATGGCAGATGCTGATGCTCTGGCAGCCAGGGTGGGGAAGAAGAGGAGCAGCCGAAAGATCCAGAAATATCACTAAGGATCATGGCTGTGTTTGAATGCCCTGACAGAGACAAGAGACAAAGCCTTGGGACTATGGAAGGTGGGGGTTGGAGAGAAGACCCCTGCATTAAGTCAGGACCCTCAAAGTGTTGCACTTTGGAGTGAGGGGCTAGGAAAAGCTCCACCCACCAGCCTGGAAGGGGGTCAGAAATCCTGGTGCCAGGCTGGCTCTGGGTGGGGGAGAACGTATTCCCATAAGAAATCAAAACCCTAGGTCTGTGTATCAGGTGGGTTGAGAGCTTGAATTGGCACTTTGCTCATGTTGCAAAAATCTGCAATGGAGAGAATTTTGCATCATCTCAGGGGCTGCTGTAGAAGACAGTGCAAAAATGCTCCTTCTAGAGAAGAACACCCACAAACCGATAAACGTAGAACTGCCATGAAAATCAATACAAAGTTTTCTAAAATTTAAAAGTAAGAGCAATTGACACAAAAATAACTAAATTCACCATAAGAGTCAGAGGAAGGAACCATATCAACAATGGCCACCCCAGTCTCAATCAGTGGTGGAAGGATGTTCTCAGAACTGTTTGTGTCAATTGGCTATTTAAGTTTAATAGTAAAAGACTGGGTAATGATAACAATGCATCGTAAAACTTTCAGAAGGAAAGGAGAATGTTTTGTGGACCATTTGTTTTGTGTGTGTGTGTGTGTGGCAGTTTTAAGTTATTAGTTTTTTGTTTTTTTTTTGTTTTGTTTTTGTTTTTTTAAAGATTTTATTTATTTATTTGAGAGAGAGAATGAGAGAGAGAGAGCATGAGAGGGGGGAGGGTCAGAGGGAGAAGCAGACTCCCTGCCGAGCAGGGAGCCCGATGTGGGACTCGATCCCGGGACTCCAGGATCATGACCTGAGCCGAAGGCAGTCGCTTAACCAACTGAGCCACCCAGGCGCCCTTAAGTTATTAGTTTTTAAAATCAGTACTTTTTAATGGAAACAACTTGATAAAAAATCTGTCACAGAATTTTGAGACCCATTAAAACAGAAGTTTAATGAGAAAAAAAAAAAAGAGAGGAAGAAAAAGGAACATTCCACCACACAGACTACCTGGGGCTCCCGTAGTGCAGGAGTAAGAGGGGTGTGTTAAAGATGAGCTCACAATCAAAATTTACAAAGCACTCAAGGAAACTTGCAGTAACAACACAGTCTGAAAGAGACTGGAAGATCTCTTAGCCACAGTGTGGCAGGTGGGCGAGGGGAGAGGCTGAAGGCAAGGAGACCAAGTAGGAGGCTGTTGCTCTGGTCTAGATGAGAGTTGGAGGTGGCAGATTAGAGGCAAAGGGGATGGATAAGATTGGACAATCCTAAGGGCATATTGCAATCATTTTACAGAGGAGAAAGATCTGAGGTCCAAGACCCAAGACTCTTTATTCCAGAGTATTCTTTCCCCGTGTGCAACACCCACATGTAGACAAACTGTTTCCCATCTCCCACAGTGGAGGTGGAAAAACATGAAATGGGGGTGCCCTCCTTCTCCCTCCCCAGATTTGGCCAATACCTTGAACAGTGCTGCCAAGAACCTGACCAATCTGACACTTTGGGGACCCAGACTAGCTACAACCTCTTACCTTCTGCTCCAGCTCTTTCCTGGATGTCAGCTCTGAGTCCAACCTCTCCTCGAATTGCTGCAGACGCTTCCTGAGGAACTCGTTCTCCATCTGAGCACAGTCGAAGTGAATTTGCCATTCATCCGCTATTTAACAAAGTCGGGGGGGGGGAACCAGGAGGAGAGGCGAGGTGAATGAGGGTGGTTCTCTCAGACTTTCTTAGCTCTTTGCACACAATTTCTCAATATGGAGCTCCTGAGGCCTGACCTTGGACTTCAGGTTAAGAAATTCTGCTTTAAGCCCAAGTTAAAAACAAACAAACAAACACTTCTTCCAGGCAGCCTGTCTTGACCACCTCTAGCTGTCTAAATTATTGGCTGCTCACTATTCGAAGCTCGGTTGCTTTATACAGTTTAATTTCTCTACAAGCATATACATACTTTTCTTTTTCCAAGGAAATTCCATAACCTTCTAGGTCAGGAGAGCTGTTTCAGTCATTTGTAGATCCTCAATACCCTCTAGAAGCATCCACTACACACAGAAGTTTCCCCCATACATGTTGAAACAAGTTCACCAACTAGAATCATCTTACTGGCCAACCACATTGGGTGACAGTATGTAAGCAGTGACTGCTGGTTAAATTAATTAACAAATAAATCAATGAACAATAATTAAAGGGTCTACTGAATGCATAGCAACAGAAACACTGGTCCCAAGATATCTCTATGAGATAAAAGAACAATCCCTTGATTCAGTAAAAATCTAAAAAATCACTTGCCGGTGTGATGAAAACTATATGACTGAATAGAATGGACTAGACCAGGTTATGATATCTTTAGATTACTCTATTACAATGTCACTTAAGGTCATGGAGCTGTGGGAAACATGTGGGCAACTGAAGATAGTGACCATCCACTTCATTCATCTCTCCATCCATCCATCCATCCATCCATATCTCCATCCATCTATCTCTCCATCTATCCATCTATCTCTCCATCTATCCATCCATCTCTCCATCCATCCATCTCTTCATCCATACATCCCTCCATCTATCCATACATCCCTCCATCTCTCCATCCACCCATCCGTCATACATTGTTCCATCTCGCATGCACTGAAATGCCCACTGAGCGCACTACTGCATACCAGGCACTGGGACCACTCTTCCAGCAGAATCTAGTACGGAAGACAAACATACAAAAAGACAGCCCCAACCTAGGATGATCAGAGCTCTCATAAAGGAAGCTATGGAAATCCAGAAGAGAATCCAAACTCATAAAAACAGCAAACGTTTTTGTTCATGATTGTGTCTGAGGGACTTACTACAATGCCTGGTATATCATAAATGCTTCATAACTTTCACTGGATAGGTGGAGGGATGGATGGAAGGATAAGGTGGGTATATGGATGGATGGAAGGATGGATGGATGGATGGAAGGATGGATGGAAGGATGGATGGATGGATGGAAGGATGGATGGATGGAAGGATGGATGGATGGATGGAAGGATGGATGGAAGGATGGATGGATGGATGGA